CCTGTATATAGACTGTGTTTTATTCGATTTTGATCTAGCTTGCGTCCATGCAGGAAGCAAAAGTAACGTAAGTTCCCATGGTCTCTAGTGTGGTGATCTACCTTCCCAGTTGCTGGTGATTTAAACCTTAATTTTGTAATGTCCTAAATAGTAAATTTTAATTTAAATGCTAGTTATAAATCTTTGACTGTGATATTCTCGTCGTTTTACTGTCCTTCGCAGACATTTTATATTATAACATCATAAATTGTTTAAATGTAACCTGTCTTAGTCACGATATGGTTGAAATATTGCCAAAGTCATATTTGATTTTGGGGCCTCGGACATTATTCAAAACGTTGGATACAATCAAGAGTGACGAGACATTTTGATGCATTAGCAGTCTCGTATGACATGAAAGTGAGGTGTTCGAGAACACCGATTGACCTAACTAAAGCATTTTCCATCTTTTAGTCTATGTGATTGTGTGAATACAACCATCCAAAGTAGCAATGTTTTTGTGTCACGAATTTCAAGGCGACAGAGGGACAAATTGGTTGTCCAGGTGATCTAAGTATTTCGAAATAATACAAGCGTATGTTATCCATACGATGGAAATATTCATGCTGTGGTTCAAGGTATTTCTCTTGGAATCAAATATCATTATACTTTTCCAAAATGAGATGAAAAACGTAACCTGAATGTTAAGGAATGCCGAAATGCCGTTCACATAGTATCCATTGCAGCAAATTGATCTCACTTGGCAGTACCATCACTGCTACATTTATCATGTCAAACCCCAACAAACATGTGAGGGATACCATATATTTCACTGTGTAAATACCGTGCATCCTATTGCCTTATACAATGGTCTCACTGCTTAATATACATCATCATCATCATCATAACACATCTGTAATGCGCTGGTATCCATGAAGTCCATGCTCAAAGCGCATATAGAATGTAAAAAATTACGCAATTATAGTTGAAAAGGCTGTCCTGAACAAATGTGTTTTTAACTGGGGTTTGAATGTGACAAAGTCAGTACAGTCCCTGAGATTCTGTGGAAGTTTGTTCCAGGCCACTGGTGCGGCATAGGCAAAGGATCTGTTTCCATACTGCACTGTTCTAGGGACAAGTAGAAGACTCTTATCTTGTGAACGGAGCGAACGAGAAGGTTTGTGTAGAGACAGAAGACTGGATAAATATGTAGGGGCAGTTCCAGACAGACATGACTTTTCCTTTTGAAATATTGAACGTCAACGCAGGAGAAAAATAAGTGTAAATTATTCATCAACAGGGGGCGTTAGAGGAAAACTATCTTTGAAACGTTTGTATTTGTTTGTATGTTTGTTTGTTTGTTGGTTGGTTGGTTTGTATATTTTACGAGGCACTTAGCAGTGTCCTATCTGCATAACAGTGGCTGTAAATAATCGAATCAAGGCCGTACAATCGGTTAGTTGACATCTAGTTACATGCAGATGTATGCAACAACCAAATCGGACCAACCGATCCCGTTGGTCAACTCTTGCTGCAAGCATGGGTCTTTGAAGCTCAAATTTAAACCGGATCTTCACTTCACTAGGGAAAGATCACATTTAACAGATATCATCTTATTTTAACGTCTGATATTAAAGGTAAATGTCCTGTAGGATTCAGTTTCAAAGAACTGCATTGAATATTCCATCACAAGGGATATCTATTTCAAATCCAAAACTCTGAAGGATCTTTTTAATAATGTCAGTTCTCATTTAATTATTGCATTTTTTAAAAAAATTAGATTTGTTGAGTGATTTGTAAATATATATATATTTTATTATTGGTAGTTTAGATTAGCAACTGAGATTGTTAGTGGCTGTATCCTCAAAGGGGGTTGAAGTATTGTAAAATTATTGTCCTCCTGAGAGGGTACGTAAGTCCCAAAACATTTAGTCAATCTAAGTGTACCTGCTTTTTAATCGTAGAATAAGTGTGTTTTTAATTTATGGCTAGATTTCTCTTCTGTCGCCAATGGCTGAAGGGATGGTGTAAATCCAGCTAGGGTCCATGCAGGTAGCAAAGGCACTGTAAGTCCCCATGGTCCCTAGTATGGTGATCTACCTTCAGTTGTTGGCGATCTATAGCCCATTTTTACATTGTATTGTCTTCTTTAATTGGAATGTTTTAGCTTTGTTCGCTAGTTTTATATTGGTAGCTGTGATTATCTAGTATTTTTACTGTCCTTCGTTGACAGGGTTTTATATATTATGTGTCTGTATTTCAAATTTAGAACTAGTTTTAGTCACGATATGGCTGAAATATTGCCGATGTGACTTTAAATCTTAACTCACTCACTCACTCACTCACTCACTCAGTTTCAAAGAAATGTCGAATTAGTTTTTCAATAATCTGTCAAGTGAAATTCATATCCCGGGAAAACAACACACTGTACATGAATTTCTATATCAATAACCGCCTCCGTAGTGTAGTGATTAGAGCGTCCGCCGGGAGAGTGGAAGGTCGCGGGTTCGATCCCCGGCCGCGTCATACCAAAAGACGTTAAAATCTGGTGCTTGTTGGTCCTTGCCTGGCGCACAGCATTAATGGGTCCAACAAGGACTGGTCGGCTCGGAGTCAGTATAGTGTGTCTGAGTGGGGTATTCATGCTTAACTATGGCATGGTATTGAAACAGTTAGCTTGCGCCTAGAATTGTTAAGGGAATTAGCTCCGGGATCTCCACGCCTTCAAATACAAACAGAGAGGATCTCAGGCAAAACAGGAATTTTTTTATTAAATATATGTGAAAGCAACACACATTCAATTAGCATTCTATAGTTAACATTTAAGTTCTTAGTTCATCGTTAACACAATGTAATGTTACAATATACATTGTGTAAAACACTTATATATATTGATCACTCTGCAATACTCTTCTTGATCAATGGATCAATGAATCCATATTACATTTTAGTAAACACTGTAAAGCCAGACACTATCATGAGATAATACAGGGTGGCAATTAATGTTTCACCTATTCTTACTCTCACCTAACTATTCATTCTGACATTCATATACTTACATTTTTAACCTTACATTTCCCATAACTTAGAATTTAAATGTGACAAATAACAGGGCTACTTAGCTTGTACAGAAAAGTAAATATAACAGCGCGAATACATCTGCCGTGTAACGATGGTGACTACAGCAAAGATTAAAAAGCCGGGCGTCACGGTCAGTGCGCCGTAAAGTAAACAATGACCTGACGGCTGTGCGAACCACCAACCGTATTACTTTCCGGTAAACCAAGATAACCCAAAGATACTTACAAAATCATGACAATTAAACATTATAACATTAATCTAAGTGTTCAAGGTTTACAAAGCGAATATGATATATATGAGAAATGGGTGTTTATAAGGGAAATGTTGGTAATTGCTAACATTGTATTTCTTACGTAGTTATTGAGGTGCCTGATACTTTGTGACTACTCTACAACATAAAACACTAAAACAACCGGTGTTTCTAGTTAATTCAGATACATTAAATGAATGTATATTTAAAAGACATTGCCATATCTGTGCGCATTTTGTTATAGAAAGAGCAATATATTCTTGACATATACGGTCACAGACTGGTTATCTTTAAATAAATACCTTCTGCTAACGGAAATCAGAAAATAGATACATAGCTGTAGACAATATTCGTATAGACATTACAAACAATATCACAAGTGATATGGCAGAGATAAAAATACAGATTCTTGGAATATGTTCTAAACGTTACACACGTTATTGACGATCGGCATCCACGACTCCAGTAACTAAAGTGAGCGGTATATTCTAGCTGAGATAGTTTAGGCTTCTGGTACACTAATGGTGGCCTAGGACAGTAATGATTCCTTATCTGGGATTCGCTATTATTCATAACCTATTCAATATCTATTTAAACTACAAGGAATTAACATATAGCGACTAAACGGAAAATTCGAGCAGCACTTTAGAATAAGTAAGATGATTTCATTGTTCAAGCTGGGTAACACGGTTAGAAGGACTTTAAGCAAATTTAACCAAATGAAAAAGTAACAAGTAAAAGTGACTTACCTTCAAATACAAACAGAGAGGATCTCAGGCAAAACAGGAATAACTCAGTGGCGAGCTACACCTGTATTTATACCCGAATCTCCTGTCCGAATTTGAAAGCAAGTCGAAGACCGCATGACAAACTGGTCATATTACGCAAGTTTGACAAAGCTGGGTAGCCAAAGCTGGGGGAAAGTTAGCTAATTGGAAAACATAATTGCTGGTGGAATGTTACCGTTCGGGTCGGTGTCCTTTGTTAATTATTTTGGGTTCGCCAGTCGTGTCTAGCTCGACAATGCACCTACTCTGATAATCACTGTTTGTTTGAGACACAAAGAGCAGTGGCCTAGCACTTACTAATCTCCCAGAGTCGCTAGTCCGGTTCTGGCAGCTTGAATGTTATAGATTTGAGAATAGTTATGTAGGTTCTGAAAACTATGTGACTTAACTGGACTAAGAATGTAAAATTATAAGATTGTAAAACAAATCCAAAATAGATAAAAACTTGAAGAAAAGTAAGGTAAATTTTGGCACTATTATAGTACCCCGGGGCCTCGTGGATCTTTTGACCGCAAAAGCCTTTTGTTTAGCTTCTGCTATTGTAAAGACAAAGATGTAACGATACTATAATGCATACAATACAAAACACACAATAAACTTCAGTGAAAGAATGTACAAACAATATAGTGATATGACACTAGGTATGTACTGCGCAGACAGCCCACTTAAAACTCTTTTTACATAGAGGAATGATTTATGATTTGATAACGACCATCATGAACCATTAAGATGTAGGCAGCAAAAGGTTGGGTGAACATTCTCTGGAGCTAATTACGGGCAGTAAAGAAAGAGACTTGCAGACTGTTGGGGACAGTTATTGCGGTTTTGGTCAGAAGATTAGTGACTGTGAAGGCAGGCCAGTCGACAGTGAGGGTGGGAAAGAAGTACCCTGAGACACGGAGATGTTCTACAGTAAAAGGAGGATGCACGTCCCAATAGGACGGGCAGAGGCTGAGAGACAGAACTGGGACAGTGATACATTCTGGACCAGTGGTGAGTTCCAGAACGAGACCATTGTGAGTCCGAGTATTGCGTTGATAGATCAGGAGGAGAAGAATAGAGGTGACAGCAAGGGTGATGACTCCCAGAAGAATTGAGACATGGTAGTCTGCAAGATCGGAAATGACAAGACTGGGAGTGGCAGTAGTTTGAGCATTATAATTTAGAGACGGGGGTTGTACCGTTGTTACTGGAGCCACCCGAGTGACCAATAATAGCGCTGCGGAGAGTGCACGAAATTTGTAAAACATCCAAATACATTATCTATTTACCAGACATATAATTAGAATTTGTTAAAAAATTCAATTTCTTTTAAAAAAAACAATAATCAAATGAAAATTAACAGTAGTCAAAACATCCCTAACAGTAAACTGGGGAAGTTTTTCTCAACCGACGCATGCATGAAAGGTAAGCAGGGTAAATTAGAACTTTGTGTTCCTGTGTCTTTCCATGTTGACATTTAATCTACGGTTTTCACTCTACAGATCTCGCTGACTTTTCTCGTTGCTGTTAAGACTAGTTTGATTAAACCTGGCCTCATATTGTTTATGCTACCAATACCAACAAACCAATTCTACCCAGGATCGGTCACGAAGTGAAAGAACCTCTGATTTCCGCAGCAACAGCAACTGCATCTGCACGTGGGGTGCCTGGTTCGGGACGATTGTCGGTGTAAACGATTCGTAACGGACGCCCTTACTTATGCAAATGTTAAGGACCTGTACAGGTTAACTGTCATTCGATCTTCTGTACTAGGAATCTAGGCTGCAACTGATCCAAAATTACTGAAAGGTATATTCCCCAGGTTTGGCATTTCATATTCTATCTGATGATATTGACACCATTATACAACATTTTCGTACATTCCGTGTAACAGATTGTTCTTTCAATCATCAGTGTGCTCCATTTGACTTGCTGTTACCGTATTAGGTGAAGCCTGGTTGAAGTGTTAGAGTGAAAGTAAATATCGCCAGACGATATTGCAGAATCAATACTTTCATACAGGAAGCATAAATGTACACATACATTATCATATCAAGCAAATATAGAGTCGGAATTGTCTCTGCTGAGTCATTTTATATGACATTCGTCGCACCTGAACCCATGTTAAATAGTACTCCATCAAAGCTACCTTTACCTCAGTGTGATGCACATTCGTGTTCATATAATATTTTATTGATGTATGTTTTCTGTGATCTACAAAGGTGTTTGATATTCATCAAAATTCATGTTTTTCTCAGCTTTCACAAAACTCAATTTCTGCAAAAGTTTGATTCTGATCGATTGGCTTATCTTATATCCATATGTGGCGGTTTTACCTACACCACGCTATTACGTCTAAGTGTAATGTAAACAAGCTACACTGCATCGTGCATACACACTGAGTATGGTCCATTTGCTGAACAATTTTAAATACCTTAATATCTCCAGATTCCTCGATAAAAGTCGGCGTTTGATGTGATATAATCACACTCCTGGCCGGATTGACGTGAAGCAAGTGTGCTCTTTATTATCATGTCTCGTGTTCAGCCACAGCGTGCATCCACTTCGTCTAATGAAAACAAAGAAACAACTAACCCCATGTCTGTTCTACATCCCTTAACCCAGTGATAACCTTGATGCGTGTTTGTGGAGTATGCACTGGCCCACGTGTTACTGTGGAGAATATTGGATGTAGTGACTACCGTTTCAGACTGCTTCACAAATATGGGTGGTTCCATATACTTTACTGCGTCATCGGAAACTCTTATATTTGGATTTACACTGGAATACTTGCTTATAAACTTGCATTCTTTGAACCAATGTCAAGTGAATGGATTATCGTTTTTCAATTTCTGATTATGAATATTATAGGATCTTGTGGTTGTACATGGTCCTCATTGAACTTTCGGAATGGAAGATATCAGTCTTGGGTTAAGGATTTCCACTTGTATGAACAGTGTTACGGTGTTCATGAAAATATGAAAGACATGGTACAGAAAAGTAGGATACTTGTAGCGTTTGTGATGTCCATTGGGATTTTTATGCCAGTGTTCATGTTAACATATGCCCTCGCCATACCCGAAGTCGGAGAGATTGCATTTGTTGTCGACGCAGCTTTGGGGTGGTGGAACTATTTGGCAACAGTAATCAATTATTTCATTTTGTGCACTTCACGCTCGAGCTTGGCTATTCGGTCAGTGATTGGATCATACCCATTGTGTTCGGAACTTGACGTGATAAACACCATTATGGAACGGTGTGTTGAAGAGTATACAAAGCGTGAAGAAAGCCAGACATTCCGATCAGAATCTGCCTCTGAATGTCACTATGAAAGTAATGAGCAACTGAAGGCCATAATAGGACGACACAAGCACATCTGTAGTTTAATATCTGGATTTGGTGACTTCATTGCTTTCGTGCAATTTATAGCATTCTTCATGTCACTCCCGCTTTCATGCTTTTCATTGTATGTCATTATGACACGCATGGAATCACAAAGTAATGTTGCCCTGTGTACGTTGATCCTGCTCTTTTGTAGCGTGGGATGCATCGCCATGTCCATTATAGGTGTGAGAGTAAATGTAAAGGTGAGTATGTAGATTGACTTTGTGATCCCTAAAGGGCAATATTATGAAGCATGTTTGTCTAGACACATGTGAATGTGGCAGGACCTCTTCTTGCATTCATGCCAGGTTCCCCTTAATGATGTCGCTTTGAGTCATCACTCGTCTCCATTCGAACCCTTCCCTTCACACCGACTAACCATTCCACGCATGGTTAACCACCAAAGCGTCATGGTTTTTCAGTAGTTTTCTCGTGTCTGACAATTTCTCACAGGCCTCATTGGGCCTTCCTCCATCACGAAGTTGATAGAGATTGGGGTGTGACGGACTGTTTCAGTGAAGTTATGGGGGACATTTAACTGGTGGTACGAATGTAGCAACGCAGACAGGAGATTGGTACCCTTAGCCTCAAATTTTGAGGACCATCAGCTGCTCTTACAGTTCCATTTTGTCGGCCTGTTGTATGGGGTAATTTGTCATTTAAGTCAAGAACATTGTGTAACGTGAAGAACAGGTTAACGTTGCTGTACAGGAAAAATGCATTTCAATCTTGCAGTGGACATCAGATTTAACATGTAATATTTCCTGAGACAGAGCCTTTGCTAACGGTTTTGATTGGTTAATCAGAGGAGTCAAATCACAATTTATTATTTCGGAAACCTTGTTAGTCGTCTATGTGTACAATTGTAGGATACTGCATCATTCAAAGTCCGCGTGACAATGTATGGTTTGGTGGACAGTTTGGGGAACAATGCAGAGCTACAAATTCAATGGTTTAATATCTCCCACTGTAACATGCATGGATAATTGGAAGCATTTACTCGGGTCAGGCACACACCTGTTGGATTTGTAATAGAATCATTCGACGAATGACTTGTCCATAACACAAATGGATCACTGTTCATAACAGGCTCACACTGCTCTTCAATGCATGCTTTACCTTGAATTACAGAGCTTGAAAATCAGGGCGTTTCTCTATCACATTGAGACATGACGGGTTAAATGGACAGGTAATTACCGAGCTCCACATAAAAAACACTTTCTCGCCCGAGGCGCTGAATACTTTTTCTTTTTTTCTTTTTTAATCGTACCATTCGACACATGAAACATTTGTCCATTGCGCAAAAAGTTCACATTCCGATGTTTTCACAACAGGCTCATGCTGCTCTTGCATACATGCTGAAGATCACAACCTTAGAGAAACAACCATGAGAGCGGTGAGTTCCAAGGAAAATCTGGAGAGTGATTGATTGATTGATTGATTGATTGATTGATTGATTGATTGATTGATTGATTGATTGATTGATTGAGTGAGTGAGTAAGTAAGTGACTGAGTAACTGAGTGTGTGTGTGTGTGTGTGTGTGTGTGTGGAGGGTGGGTGGATGGTAGGGACGCAGGGAGCCAGCGTGGGTGGGTTTAGTGAGCGAGAGGGTGGGTGTATGGGTGGGTGAGTGAGTGAGTGAGTGAGTGAGTGAGGAGTGAGTGAGTGAGTGAGTGAGTGAGTGAGTGAGGAGTGAGTGAGTGAGTGAGTGTGTGAGTGAGTGAGAGGAGTGAGTGAGTGATGTTAACCGAAATATATATACAACGAGGAGTTTGAGATTATTTTTCATTACCGAGACAACTTTTTCACAGGTGAACCAGTTCACAAGCCTACTAACTGGGACAACACTTGGGTACAACGTTTATGGCCTCTTTACTATCAGCCCGCCGACTCTCCTCAGTGCAAGTTCATTTATACAGAGTTTGTTTATATGAAGAATATTATATTACGTAAACATTTTGGGCATTTTCTCATGTTGATGTTCATGAGATTAAACAAATATTTTGTAGACTCTTTAATTTGAGGGACATGGTTTACAAAATGGATACTTTATTATTGTTACAGATTGTTGGAACTTTGGTGACCTACGTTGTGGTGGTTCTTCAGTTTCGTCAACCAGACTCTCAGACAAGTCTCAGAACACTGTGCCAAGACCTAGTGGCTAATGTTACTCTACAGTTGTAGGATATGCACAACGCATCATCCTGTACATAAACGTTTTCATATAATCTAGCAACTTGGACCCACTGATTGGTCAATTACGTCCTGAGGTTACAATACGTGTGAATTATACTCTATGTGTGTATTGTAACATGACCGTTTTCTTTCCTTTTGTTCTCACTTTTAGTTACTTGTTACTCTCAGTTTGTTACTTGTACGACTAATGAAATACCTGTTAAGAATCCCTGAAATTGTAACGAGTTATGTATCATACATTCTTGTGACCAAACGGTAATTGCTGACGCTGATGTGACGTGACGTGGTGAATCAAACTTAGTCTGTAAACATAGCTATTTATTGTCTGTTTTGTTCTCATGTACAGATTACGATCATGAATTGTCAGAACACATATCCGTTAAACATATTTCAAGTTATAAAAACGTAATTGAACAATTCTTTTGACAGATCTGACACTTTTCAATTTTAGTGTAAGTGTTAAAGCGAGATGAAATAGGATCGAATATACGAACAATTAGTTAGTTATTCGTGTTTAGTTCATTATCAAAAATTATTCCGAGGCATTTGACATGCAAACCAGACACATCCTTTTCATTTGTTTTTCGAACAACCGAAAGAAATTAGACCATGCCTCCCGAAGTATTTCTGATAGGTTGATAATGGTTAGCTCGTGTAACATTTTACCGTTAATCTATGTTTGTATTATTGTCTTCAGTTAGTTTTATTGTCAATGATTAAATAGATTGTCAGTAAAGTTGTTGATGACGTATTTCTTCATAAGAATCGATGTTAACACATGTTTGCTTTAAAGAAGATGCATATGTAAAAGTCAAACATTGTCAAAATGTTTCTCAAATGAAAATGTGTCTTGCGAGAATATATAATTCCTGTCTGCCCGTTTAAAGTTTGTGAACTGACTTTGTATTGTTTGGTTACAATACGTGTGAATTATACTCTATGTGTGTATTGTAACATGACCGTTTTCTTTCCTTTTGTTGTCACTTTGAGTTACTTGTTACTCTCAGTTTGTTACTTGTATGACTAATATAAAATGTGTTAAGGACGCTGAAATTGTAACGAGTTATGCACCATACATTATTGTGACCATACATTATTTGTAATCATGGACAGACAGCTGAAATGAAAATGTGTCTTGAGAGAATAAATAATTCCTATCCGACTGTTTAAAGTTTGTGAACTGACTTAGAATTGGTATTATTGTTATGCAATTTAGTTGTCATCTGTCAATAGCCACCTTTGAATAGTCTCTATTCTAAATCGGAAAACGAAAAGGTATCTGTGTGGGTCATTTAGGTTGGCACCACTTTAACAACATTGAGACAAACGCTCCAGCTTATCTACACAGAGATGACACATTCGCCAGGTTTCGGATCTCGTTTATGGAAACAGAAACGGTCTGCAATTACGATGGGTCTTGGTTACAGGTGATCTCTCACGATGTTCACAATGACATCAAAAGCGTTGTCTGGAGCTGAGTAACTTCTCCAAAGAATGTTTGTTTAACACTTGCGTCAGTTGACCACTTTTCAAATGACTGTTGAATTTACCAATATTTCCTATAGAACTTCACAACAGGATAAGTTACACCTGAACGTGTCAGAAATGCGGAAAAAAGTATACATATATCATACAAGGATGTGTGTTTGGTTAATTATGGGTCACAAACATTTAAAGCGATGAGTGTGGATTTGAACTCACATCTTGAACTAGGCTATGTAATTTCACCTGTTAAGAGAGTTAAGCTTAGGAGTTAGAGATACCTCCTCTTTGTTGTTGTTGCTTCCGGCGGGAGAGAAGGGCCGAGAAGCGTATCGATGATTGTGTTGTGGCGTGGATTTCGCTGGAAAAGTCTGGAACTGTATAATAGGTATATAAGGGATGGTTGTTGAGATGGACAACTACTGCTTTCGATTTACGCTCACCTGTCTGCTAACATCGTCGTTTCACCACTAAAAAGACCTCCCATTCGCCCACATTGAACTTTCACAGCTGTCAACAATCTTCAACCAGTGCATCTGTTTTTACTGGGAATATCGATATTTGGTGAGTTAATATTTTATATTTCTGACTCAATAGTATTGTATTAGAAATCTGTATAGTCATTCATTGTAAAGTTGTTTATTATTCTTTCAATATATTATTGTATATTATTGACGTGTCTGTGTTCTATTTTGCTGGTTTAAAGGGGACTCACAAGCCTTTTATCTCAGTAATTTCTAAACCGTAACATATATGAGACAAGACAGCGATTAAAGCACATGCCGAGTCACAAGTCATTTCATAACACTGTTTCTTGGAGGTTCAACAGTTACTCACATTAGGACAGATACGTGCATTACCAAGTCCATCCTCGCCGATTACTTTTGTTTCTCTGATGTTTGATAAATGAAAAATCGACAAGAACTGTTCCGGTGTTGGAATCATGACAAACTTCACCTCTGGATATACAGGTCACAGGTTTAGCGACATTCAGAATAGACTCACCAGACTTCATAGCATGAAAGGACGCATCGCAAAACGAGAAACACAAGAAGTGTAGCTACACAACATTTAAAGAAAGATACTTATAAAACTATCAAAGTTATATTTACACACACGCGTAAATATATAGCCATAGATGATTTTATAAAGATATATTGGCAAAACGCTACATGCGATTTTATTGTTCTCCGAAAGCAAGAAACAGTTACCCTAATCCTGAACTGGTGCATATAAAACTATTCTGTTCAGCTGATAGCGTATGTTTTTAACGTGACATGTGACGGAAGTGTCAGTTGTAATGGGAACCAGTCCCTGAATCCAGTATTTAGTCAGTTCATACTCAGGAAAGCTCATGTACAGGTACATGGTTGTTTGTATGTTGTTAAACGCCACACTCGGCAATATTCCAGCAATGTGGCGGCGGGGACACCTAAAAGGCTTCACACATTGTCCCCATGTGGTGAATCGAACTCGAGTCTTCAGTATGACGAGCCAACCCTTTAACCACTTGGCCCCATGAACATATGTAGATGAATCACCGTCAAACATTTATGCTACGTGGACTTCCACTAGGCTACCAAACTGCCCATTTTGTTGAGGGGAATGGATGGTGCCTCCTTTACCCAAACACCTGGAGTCTTCACTGGTTTTCACTTGTCCATTCAGATGATTTTCACAGATGCTTCGCCTTTCTCACTAAATGGACTTTGAGGATAGTCGAGGCTCGGTCGGTTTTCTTGGGCACTAACGTTATATGTTTCTGTTCCAGGATTTACAGTTGGAGGTCACTCTGCACATAAAGGCTCGGGCTCAAACATGCTTTGTGCTCACTCGGAACCCCAGTTCACTCGGACGTTCAGCAGAACAACAGGCAAATTCAACTACCTGTATGGGGCGGAATATGAACAGATATGGAGGACAGACCTTACCAACGAAGATGCGCCTTGCTCTGTCTGTGTGGGCCTCACACGGTCCACTGCCACGTTGGTTCCTGGAAGACACGAGTGTATGGAAGGATGGCGCACAGAGTACTGGGGATTCCTGGTTGGTCCAAAACACGCGGATGCTGGGAATGCTGATTACATCTTCCTTGATTCAGAACCAAAAGCAACAGAAGGAAGTTACCAGGACCATGACGGTCGTTTGTTGTTCAACGTGGAGTACCAGTGTGGAGCTCTGCCGTGTCCGCCATACAAGACTGGGTTCTTTGTTCCTTCTGCCTTATGCACAATTTAATGGTCATGTTAAAATGTGGAAATGTTCCACACCCATACATATTTCAACACGTTGCCACATTATATCTTATTAATTTATGCGTTTGCATTAGTATTTCATGGCTAACTGGCTGCAATTGATAAAGAACACCATAGGATCCTTTCATTGGAGCATCGCGTTTCAGCAATCTCTGATAAAAGCAGTCATTCTTCATAGTGTTTAATTTTTTGTGCTAATTATCATTCTCATTATTAAAAATAATAATAACAAGTGCATTTATAATGCACTAAACTCCATTCACTAGGTGAATGCTCATAGCGCTAACAATCAGCACATTATTACCCCGGATAACCCAAGCTGCCTGTGAGGCGCTAAAAGACTAATAGTCACATGACGTATCCAACCGGGTACCATTTTCTGCCGGGTGAACGGAGGCGGTTTTGAAAAGCTCACTTGCTTAAAGTGAGACTACATGTAACACATGTGCTTCGGTGTGGTGCAGGGGGCTGAATTAAAACTCTCAGGAGTCAAGTTGCCAAAACGGATCACCCATCCAAGGACTCTCCACGGTGAAGATTTTGGGTCGCCCAACGTTTGCTTAACTTCAACTGATCAGTGACCTGGGAGGTATCTCTATGCACAGAACCACACACTCACCTGGACGTTAAGGACTTAATACTCTCCTACGAGTTAGTGTCTCCTAACATGAGTATCTCCTACGTAATAAGTATCTCCTACGTCTAATTCCTATTTATTCTGGTTTCTACTGGGAGTAGGACTTAGGCATGCTCTACGGAAGCGTAGTAGGGCCACGTGGTGAAAGATTTTCTACGTGGGTCTTACTATCTCCTACTTAATTGTATCTCCTACGTAGGACTTAATATCTCCTACGTGGGACATAGTATCTCCTACGGGGACTTAGTATCTCCTAGTATCTACCATACGTAGGACTTAATATCTCCCTACGTGGGACTTAGACTCCTAGTATCTCCTACGTGGGACATAGTATCTCCCTACGTGTGGGACTTAGTATCTCCCGTACGTATCTCCTACGACTTAGTATCTCCTACGTAGGAGTTAGTATCTCCTAAACTTAGTGGGTATCTCCTACGTAGGGACTTAATATCTCCTACGTAGTTAGTATCTTAATATTTCCTGTAGGAGATGATCGATATGCGTTGATATGGATTAATCTGAAACGGTCGACTTAAAAGCCCTAGACACGCACACAATCTCCTGTTTCACTGTTTCATTCACTATTAGAGTCTACAGTTATGTGTTTCATTTTACTGTTAGAGTCTACTATCATGTGTTTCAATTTCCTACAGAGACTACTGTTTCCTTCACTATTAGAGTCATGTGTTCAACTAATTGTTTGCACATTAGTACTGTGTTGGACCGACTGTTATACTTTACTGCCTTGCGTTCAGTTTGCTCTACTACTACGCGTTGCAGTTAGTTCACTGTTATAATGTTGCACTTTGTTACACTTTACTATTATGCATTGGATATTTCAGAGGTCGTTGCACATGAATCATAATCTGCGTGTACAGACGTGTCTTAGACTATAGGTGGCAATCTATGTGTACGTATCCCCTTATATTTATACAAATAACTATAATGACAATTCTTTGCCTTTTGAATTTCGTATTGTTTTACGCCGCACTCAACACTTGTCCACCCCAGTCAAGTCGACCTGTAAACAATTACAGATAAAACCGCAAACAGAGCGTTGCATCCGATCCAACCTAGCCCCATCAAGACAAGCAACAGCTTGCGGAGGTCGTGTTATAACCCGAGTTTCATATCACAACCTCACCCCAACCATCGCACCCACCTCTGTGTGTGTGTGTGTGTGTGTGTTTGTGTGTGTGAATAGATGTATGTATGATAGATTAAACATAACCATACCCAAACCTCCATAACTGCAATTAGAACAGGGTCCACGTCACCCTAACGTAATACAAACACAATAACACTGTATAACACTGAATATTCACTGACTCACATTTCGACTATCTAACGTCCTGCATAGCCAAACATTTCTCAACTTAATAACCATCCTTAAAAAGGATATATTAAGAGTCCTACGTAGGAGATACTAAGTCCTACGTAGGAGATAGTATGTCCTACGTAGGAGATACTAAAGTCCTACGTAGGAGAAAGTAATGTCCTACGTAGGAAATGCATAAGTCCTACGTAGGAGATACTAAGTCCCACGTAGGGAGATAACATGTCCCACCGTAGGTGTTAGTATGTCCTACGTACCAGATACTTAGTCCCACATAGGAGATAGTATGTCCTACGTCCTGGAGATACTAAGTCCCTACGTAGGAGATACTAAGTCCCATTGGTAGGAGATAGTATGTCCTACGTAGGAGATACTAAGTCCTAATGGAGAGAGTAAATGTCCTACGTAGGCGTTACTATCCTACTTAGGGGATAGTGTGTCCGATTAGGAGATGAGTATGTCCTACGTAGGAGATACTAGAGTCCTACGTAGGAGATACTAAGTCCTACATAGGAGATAGAGATACTTAGTCCTGCGTAGGAGATAGCATGTCCCTACGTAGGAGATACTAAGTCCCAATGCGTAGGAGATAGTATGTCCCTGCGTAGGAGATAATTTCTAAGTCCTACGTAGAAGATAGTATGTCCTACGTGGGAGATACTAAGTCCTACGTAGGGGATACTAAGTCCTACGTAGGGAGATACTAAGTCCTACGTAGGAGATGAGTATGTCCTGCTTAGGAGATACTAAGTCCTACGTAGGAGATACTAAGTCCTACGTAGGGAGATAATATGTCCTATCGTGGGAGATAGTATGTCCTACGTAGGAGATAATAAGTCCCTACGTAGGAGATAGGTATGTCCTACGTAGGAGATACTAAGTCCTACGTAGGAGATACTAAGTCCTACGTGAAGAGATAGCTATGTCCCACGTAGGAGATACTAAGTCCTACGTAGGAGATAGTATGTCCCACGTAGGAAATACTGTCCTACTTAGGGATGATAGTGATCCCTGTGTGTGTCCGACGTGGGAGATAGTATGTCCTACGTAGGGAGATACTAAGTCCTACGTAGGGAGATAGAGATACTTAGTCCTACGTAGGAGAGATAGTATGTCCCTACGTGGGAGATACTAAGTCCTACGTGGGAGATAGTATGTCCCTGCGTAGGGAGATACTAAGTCCCACGTAGGAGATACTAAGTCCTACGTGGGAGATGAGTATGTCCTACGTAGGAGATACTAAGTCCTACGTAGGGAGATATTAGAGTCCTACGTGAGGAGATAGTATGTCCTACGTAGGAGATACTAAGAGATCCTACGGAGGAGATACTAAGTCCTACGTGGAGATACTAGAGTCCTACGTAGGGAGATAGTATGTCCTGCTTAGGAGAGATACTAAGTCCTACGTAGGAGATGCTAAGTCCTACGTGGGACTGACTGACTGAGTTTAGTTTTACGCCGCTTTTAGCAATATTCCAGCAATATCACGGCGGGGGACACCAGAAATGGGCTTAACATTGTGCCCATGTGGGGAATCAGAACCACGGGTCTTCGGCGTGACGAGCCAACGCTTTAACCACTAGGCTACCCCACCGCCCCTCTACGTAGGAGGAAAATATGTCCTACGTGGGAGATAGTATAATCCTACGTAGGAGATACTAAGTCCCTGCGTAGGAGATACTAAGTCCTACGTAGGAGATAGTATGTCCTACATGTGGGAGATACTAAGTCCTACGTGGGAGATAGAGATACTTAGTCCCTACGTAGTAGATGAGTATGTCCCTACGTAGGAGATACTAAGTCCTACGTGGGAGATAGTATGTCCTACGTAGGAGATACTAAGTCCTACGTAGGGAGATACTTGAGTCCTACGTAGGAGATATTAAGTCCTACGTGGGAGATAGTATGTCCCTACGTAGGAGATACTAAGTCCTATGTAGGGAGATAGTATGTCCTACGTAGGAGATACTAAAGTCCTACGTAGGAGATAGTTAGTCCCTACGTGGGAGAGATATTAAGTCCCTACGTGGGAGATAGTATGTCCTACGTAGGAGATACTAAGTCCTACGTAGGAGATAGTATGTCCTACGTGGGAGATACTAAGAGATCTACGTAGGAGATATAGTTAGTCCTACGTAGGAGATATTAAGTCCCTACGTGGGAGATAGTATGTCCTACGTAGGAGATACTAAGTCCCATGTAGGAGATACTAAGTCCTGCGTAGGAGATACTAAGTCCTACGTAGGAGATAGTATGTCCTGCTTAGGAGATACTAAGTCCCACGTAGGAGATACTAAATCCTACGTAGGAGATAATATGTCCTACGTAGGAGATATATGTCCTACGTAGGAGATACTAAGTCCTACGTAGGAGATACTAAAATCCTACGTAGGAGATAGTATGCCCTACGTAGGAGATAATATGTCCTGCTTAGGAGATACTAAGTCCTACGTAGGAGATACTAAGTCCTACGTGGGACTGACTGACTGAGTTTAGTTTTACGCCGCTTTTAGCAATATTCCAGCAATATCACGGCGGGGACACCAGAAATGGGCTTAACACATTTGTGCCCATGTGGGGAATCGAACCTTGGTCTTCAGCGTGACGAGCCAACGCTTTAACCACTAGGCTACCCCACCGCCCTCCTACGTAGGAGATAATATATGTCCTACGTAGGATAGATAGTATGTCCTACGTAGGAGATACTAAAAGTCCCACGTAGGAGATACTAAGTCCCACGTAGGGAGATAGTATGTCCTACGTGGAGATACTAAGTCCTACGTAGGAGATAGAGATACTTAGTCCCACGTAGGAGATAGTATGTCCTACGTAGGAGATACTAAGTCCTACGTAGGAGATAGTATGTCCTACGTAGGAGATAGTAGAAGTCCTACGTAGGAGATACTTAGTCCTACGTAGGAGATATTAAGTCCTACGTAAGGGAAATAGTATGTCCTACGTGGGAGATACTAAGTCCTATGTAGGAGATAGTATGTCCCACGTGGGAGATACTAGAGTCCTACGTAGGAGATACTTAGTCCTACGTAGGAGATATTA